TTTCATAAATATTCAAACCGAGAAACGAACCGAACCGTCTCATACCGTACCACACCGAAGAACCGAAATTAGGAACCGAAAATAGGGACCGAATTATAAAATAGATGTGTGTTATTAACTTTGATCCTATATAATTTAATAATTTTTAAAATGCAATAAAATATAGTAATAACAATTAAACTTCACTTAGATTCCATGCTTATAAGTACTTGCTATACAATTGAATATTTCGTGTTTAAAAATATATATTTAAAATGGTTTGAAAGGTAAAAAAATGTATTTGTAAAAGAAATATAAAGTTTACTTAAATTTGTCGATACTTAGTCTTTTTCTGTCTTATAAATAACATGGAAGGTTAAAGAAACATTACTTCTAATAAAAACTATATCATATTTTTTTGAATTTTAATTTCTGAATGTCAGTTGCAAAAAATTCGTCTTAACTAAAATCTAGAGTTATTTCTAAAGTTCATTTAAAAATAAAAACTTTATTATGATAAAGTATTGATGAATGTTGGATTAAAAAGAAAAAAAAAAAAACATATAAAAACTAAAATTTAACTAGGTAGTCATTCAAAAAAATTGAAAAATAATTATAAATCTCTTAATATCCAACCGAACCGAATCGAACTGAACCATTCTGATAGTCCCGAATAACGAACCGAACCGAAAAATAAAAATCTCTGAACCGAACCGAACCGAATTGATTTTTGGTATGGTTCCAGAGATCGAAATTTAGTGATCTCCGAAATGTCACGGGTTTGGAACCCTGTAGAGAATGAAGAGGGGGCAAATAGAACTCGTTCTCAAGGAAGATTGGAAAAAAGCGGCTTTTCGGGCCATTGGGGCACTTGAGGCTTCGAATTCGGTATGCTTCGGACAACCCGTTGGTCTATAGTTCAGCCGCGGAGCTCTTTAGGGGCTCCTCTTGACCGCATTCTTCACATCCTTGCTTGCAGGCTAGGTCAAAGCTTCCAGGGTCTCATCCCAAGACGTTCTTCCAATCCAGCAATGCGAGGTTTAATGTTTTTGGTCGTGTCAGAGCGATTGTTGGCTCCAATGCATGAATGGTGTGCTGCTGTTTTAAAGAGGATGTCAAGGCACAAGTTATTGTGTTCCCCCGAATGGGGTTTATGTTCATTCAGGATTCTTCTATCTATTCTGGCTTTTAGCCTTTGGAACCAGTGGCCTTTGAGAACCTACAAGAATAAAAAAAGAAGTTAGCTTCAATTGGTCACTCCCATTTCAGGTTTGGTTAAGGTTCCCAGATGGATCTTGCCCCATCACCTTCCTAGACTAGAAAGTTGCCTTCCTCACATTCAATAGGGCTACCTTAGCCCGACGGATCTGCGCCGCAGCAGGGGGTGGGGTGTCCTTCTATACCGGGGATGCATGTTGCCATAACCCCCTACTGGTTCAACCAACGGCTTGCTGCTCGCAGAGAGTATTCAAGGAAAGAAAGGAAAAAAGGGCAGCAAGGCTCGCTCTACCAGACCTGATCTGACTTTTGTTGTTTCCTCACTGACAATCATTCTCCGCAGTGACCATTCCTTCCTTGGTAGAATAGAATGTAAGTCTTCAATAAATCCCGATTGGTATGAAGGAAGCAGGAATATATTGCGTACCTAGGTTCACTACCATTGAGAAAGTGAGAAAGAGAAAAAAAATGGACATAAGTTCGCAAAGCTTGTTCAGACCCAGGTAGCGAAAATAGACCAGAAGAGCTTGACTGGCCTACGTAAATTTCTTCAACAATAGATTCCTTCACTTCTCGCCAGAGAGAAAGTAGGGCAAAAACGTTGGATGTAAGGAAAGGTGTATTATAAGGCCAGGTTTGGCGTCCCTTACGCCATTGTAGCCTATCGGCTTCAGCCACTCCACCCTTGGTGCCGGCGTGGAGCTGCTAGCCTCCCCACTAGCAATCGCCTTCTTCGGTACGGTTCTGGAAATTGACAAGTCTCCGAAACCGTACCGACCCATACTCATCCCTAATTTTCGATTAACAACTAACACTATAGTGGGATTTTAATTTAATATTTAAATAGTATTTAAAATAATTAAAGTTGATTTGATGTAAAAGTAGAAGAAAAAGAATGTGAAGTGGTAGTTAGTTAAAATTATGTAAGTTGATAAGTGATAAATTAAACTTGATGTGATGTGTTAGAATGACTGGTTTGTATTATTTAATTATATTGTTGATACCCAAATTTGGTTCCAATTGATTAAATAATAAATGAAATAAAAAGTATGGTCCTGTAAACAAGGACCCAAAAATACGTAATAAATAAATGTGCAAGAAAAACAGGTACTTCAATTAGTTGATCGTCTAGAGGCCGACCAGACCCCCCATATGACAAGTCTGCCCGCTACTGAGCCGAACAGAATTTGAGGTGATCGACCGACACAAATATCCTAAAGTAGCTACCGACAAGGTAGATATAAATCGAAACCGTCAAAAGCCATAAAGTGGTTTCATGATAATTATCTCACATTAAATAATGATGTACTATTTTTTATTTATTTTACTCACCCACTT